ATTAAACAAAGTTTTTTTATCTATAATTAATATCTAATATTATAATAAAAATTTTGTATTTATGTATCTCTGTCGGTGAATCGCATGCTGTCACTATAATTTTCAACTGTAAACTCACACCATTTATAGTATGATGCGCAATGATTCATTCTGCTGCTAAGTTTTAATGGCTTTCTGATTGGCTGGAATAATGGAGTTGTTTGCTATTTATTTTAACTGCGCAAAAATAGAAATAAAATATATTCTATTTTAATTGTAAATTTTTATAACAAAAGATCCATCCATTATAAATATAAAAATAAACTAATATAATTAAATTAAAATGAATTTTCAATAAAAATTATTTAAATTAGGAAAACTAAAATATAAAATTAAATATTTAAAACAAAATAATCAAATTTAAAAAGAGTATAAAACAGAAGTATAAGAAAGAATATAAAACAGAAGTCAACATAAAGTATATTTAATACTAAAGTGTGATAGAAGAATTTAAAACAAAACTAAAAAAAAAAATTTTAAACTAAAACAAATGTTTTAAAAAAGACTAAAAAATAAATAAAAAAATTTGTTCATCATTTCTTAAATAATAAGAATTGAAGATCAACGCCATCTTTTAAAGACTTTTAGAAATTTGATTCTTTGAAAAAATATTTTTTCAAAGAAAGTATTCAAGAAATAATGCTGAAAATCAATCCTTATTCTATTCTATTTCTATTTATTCTATTCTATATCTATTTTTACTATTTACTCTCTTTATTTATTAGTTTCATTTGCGGCATTCTAAAAGTAACATGATTGGATAATTCTTAATCTATCTCCGTTTTTTTCCTGTTATTCTCTCTGTGGTCTCTTTTTGGTCTGCAAAATTTATATCCAAAAAATTATTTTCATAATTCATATTTGATTAATAATTAAAAACAATGAAAAAAATAAGAAATTCCTATAGGATTCCTATATAATTTTCCTATATAATAATATTTTATTTATTAAATTTTCATGATTATTTATATTATATAAATATTATATAAATACTAATATTTTCAATTTTATTAAAAATAAATATAAATAATTTATGTAAACAGAATATGGATTAAAAAGCAGATTTAAAAACACACAAATATTAAATCTATTTAATAACTCATCTATAAGTTTTATTTTATTAAAAATAATTTCTTTGGAAATAATATATAATATCTAAGAAAAGTATCATCAATAAAAACTTGCATACTATTTAGATTTTCATAAAAAAATATTTATCGCGAATTTTAAAAAATTTTTGAATTTTATTAATATTAATTTATAATTATAATTTAAATTAAAAATGTAAGTAGGAAAAATTAATAAAACATACAAAATAACTATATTTTTATTAAAATTTTATTAAATAAAAAATATTTATGGTTGTTCACCAGTAGGCATAGATTTTATAATATCTGAATTTCCAGGGTCTGTAATAGAAAGAGTACATACACGGAAATATTTTCCACATGCAGTACCTAATTCTATGTTATTTCCAATATAATGATGCACACCAGTTTTTGCCAACATAGCATAATATTCTATCTCTGATTTCCTGTTAAACAAATAAAACAAATATTTATAGCTTTAATTTAGTAACATAAATTTGAAGTGTCTCTGCACTTACAAACAGAGACGTGAGACTACTCCGTAGGACTCCTATTATGAGTGTACAAATCAATATGAAACATATAAAATTTTTTTAATATATTTGTCAACATTCAATATAACATTCAATGTAAAATATTATTTTATATTGCTCATATTGCTTTGTAATTATTTATAATTAAAGGAGTACTACATCTCAGTCTCACCTTAAAGGTGCAGCATTATTAGCAATGATGACTAATTTTGCTTTTCCTTGCCGGAGGGACTTCAATGTCTGCTTATATCCCAGAACATATTTTCCTGATTTCATAACAAGGGCCAATCTGGAGTTGATCCCTTCTTGAGATTTTTTCTGTTAATAAATACATATATTTATAAATACAAACATATACATATATTTAAACTATTAACCTCTAACTCTTACTATCCTCCTATTATCAAAAAATTATTTAAACATTTAAAAAAAAATTTATTTTAAAAATGGTTTAAAAATATAATAATAAATTTAATTCATATTTATATATTAGTATTATTATTTTAATGTACTAATATTTTAAAAATATAAAGAATAATTTTAACATATGCTTTGAAAATTGAATCGCACGTGTAAATTTGAAAAAGAATTTACCTGTTTTTTTTGAGCTACCATTTTTACTATTTAATAGATGAATACTAAAACAAAAATTTTAACATATTTAATAATACTTGTTCATATCAATTATTATATCAATTATAATAATAAAATTATTACAAAATATTAAAAAAATACTTACTTTTTCAAGTACACGCAATGTCATAGAACACGATAGACGTGAAAAAGACTGAATATATCGTTATATGTTCGAGTTGAAGATTGCCATGAAATACAAAGTACATAGAATATGTTTCTATTATGTTTCTGCTATATATATTATTTTTATTCATTTATGTTTTGCAATATAGTATTTTAATATATATATTTAATATATAAATTATAAATATATAACTTAAAGTAATAAAATTATAAAAATTTTATAATTAAATAAATATTGATTTATAAAATCATAAAAGAACTTAATATTACTTATATTACTTATCAATTTAATTAATATTTTTTCATTTTACTATTACTATTAAATTAATTATTTATAGATTTTTTTTAAGCAAATTAAAATAATTTATCAAATAATCTTTATAATCTTTATAATTTTGTAACTATTTGTAATTATATATTAAATTTGTAATTCAATATATTATAATTTTGTAGTTTTATAAAATGTAAATAAGTTATAAAAATTTGAATTTATTTTATTAATAAAATAAATATAATATAATAAAATAAATGAGAAAATAATAAGAAAATAGTTTAATTATTAATACATTTTAATATATTAAATAATGTTTTAATTATATAACAAACATGGTAATAAATAAGGGTGAAATATTGCATGTATTTATCAAATATTATCATGGATGAAACTTTCTATATGACTTTATTTCCTTTTACACTAATTTATATTTATAATATATATATATATATATATATATATATATAATACGAAAGTAACTCTCATATCATATATTTGTTTTTTTCATATTATATTTAATTAACTTTTTAATCAATTTATGAGTTACGTTTGGTATTTAGCATATTTCATAGAACTAGCTTCAAGCATAATAAATTTTTTCTTTTTAATTATTTTAAAAATTTATTATATTTAAATTTCTCAATTTAGAAAGATGGAAATACAAGATCCGCGCTGGAAAAATAAGATTAGCGTTTTGGTTTCCCTGACAACGAAAGTAGAGTGGGGAAAACTCGTTTTGTTCGCGAATAAAATTTAGACAACATTTATCAAAAAAAGTGATAATATTCATATTTACGTGTCACTTTTTTATCATACTTAGAGTTTGCACAAATGATCAAATAGTTAATATCTTAACATTATTTACATCTTGTAGTTTATATGTAATGTTACAAAAAATTATAAACATATGTTTTCATTTAAAATACAATAATATTACATATTCTAATAGAAAATATGTATAAAAATATTATTAAAAAATTTAAATTAAAAATAAAAACAAATTTTTATTCTAAAGTGTATCTTAATATATTTTATATATAAAATTTTAATACAATATATAAAAGATATATAAAAGTGTTTTTAATAAGTGTTTTTAATTTTTAATATTAAGTGTTTATTGTTATTTCTTGTTTCAGAAATATTTTTAAAATAATGGAACTTAAATGTAAAGTACAAACATATGATTGGGGAAAATATGGTATTGATAGTACTGTAGCAACATTAATGAAATCTGCTAATAGAGATTTTATATTGGATGAAAAAAAACCATATGCAGAGTTGTGGATGGGTACACATCCTAATGGTCCTTCATATATAAAAGATTTAAATATATCATTAGAAAAATATATAAAACAAAATAGTCATGTATTAGGAAATGATGTTCAAAAAATATTTGGTCATCAGTTACCATTTCTTTTTAAAGTCTTATCTGTGAACAAAGCATTATCAATTCAAGCACATCCAAATAAGGTATATATGTTTTAATGATATATAGACAAACATAAATATATATTATGATTATCTTCTGATAATGCTTCTAATAAATGCTTTTATGTAATACAATTATCTAATATAAAATATTGTACTGATATATTTTAACATAGGAAAAAGCAAAGGAATTGCATCAACAATATCCTACTATTTACAAAGATGCAAATCATAAACCTGAAATTGCAATAGCATTAACACCTTTTGAAGCTCTTTGTGGTTTCCGTCCAATTAGAGAGATACAAGAATTTCTAAAAATTCTTCCAGAATTACGTACTGTAATAGGAGAAGCTAAAGTACTTAAATTTATGACAACAGATGAAGCAGACAATACTAAAGCTTTGAAAACATGTTTTCATAGTCTAATGACTTGTGATCCTGGATTAATAGCACTACAACTCAGAAAATTACTTGACAGATTATCTAATTTGGGTACTTTTTAATAATTAAATAATAATAATAAATATTTCTTAATAATTATATAATAATTAATAATAATTATATAATATTAATAATTAAATATTTATAAATATTTTTTCATTAATAAAAAATAATTGTTTTTAGATGAATCATTAAGGCAAACTTTACATGCTAGTTTACTAGAAAGACTATATTCAGATTTCCCAGGAGATGTAGGATGTTTTGGTATTTATTTTTTTAATTTCATAATAATGCAGCCTGGAGAGGCTATATATCTTGGACCAAATGTACCACATGCATATCTTTCTGGTGGTCAGCAATTTATAATATATTTTATATTATCATCTTTATATAATATATATATGCTGAAATATAATTATATTTTAACAAATGAAATTTAACATATTAAAATTATAGATTGTATAGAATGCATGGCATGCTCTGATAATGTAATACGTGCAGGATTGACTTCTAAATTAAAAGATGTACCAACATTAATTGAAATGTTAAGTTACATTTGTGAACCAATTTCTGCAAAAAGATTTCAACCTTCTCGTGAAGATGAATGTACAGAAGTATTTCGTCCTCCTGTAAAAGATTTTGCTGTTGCTAAAATTACAGTAAGTTTCTTTATGAAAAGTTATCAGTTATTAAATGTTTATTAAATCAGTTATTAAAAAAATTTTTTTAAATTTGTAAAAAATATTTTTTTAGATTCCTCCTGGAAGAGCTTCATATAATATTATTCCCAGAAATACAGCTAGTATTTTAATTATCATAAATGGAAAAGGTGAAATCTCACCATCAAAAATTCTTTATCGAGGTTCTGTTATATTTATTCCAGCAAATGATAAAATCGGAATTAAAGTTTTATGTGGATGTCATCCTATGTTGATGTTTCAAGCTTTTGTAAATGTTTAAAAAAACTGAATACTTAAAAAAAAAAAAGTGATAAGACAATTTGCACGCACAAAGTATTATTGCACTTTTGAAATGCTTAAATTTTAATCTAAAATTGTTGATCTTAAAATTTTATCAATAATTATGAATAATTGAGAGTTTATTATATATTATATTATCAATATCATTCTTTTTAATAGATATATGATTTTCATAGTAAGATTCTATAATTAATAGAATTATATTAATATCATATCAATAATAGTTAATAGAATTGATATCTGAGTATAATGTTTTCATTAAATCACAAATGCATAAATGAGAAACATTCCTTTTAGTTTTATATTGAAAAGCATTTATCTTTTACAATTCCTGCCATATTATGTATTATAACATTTTAACATATAAATAATATTTCTTTTAACTAATTATTTTTATGAATTACGAAAATTATTTCATCTTTTTTGAATAAAAAAGAAATATACTTATGCAATTATGTACTTAAATATTTCTTATTTTGAAATATATATTTTTATATCTGTCATAGTAATATTCATTCCAAAAACAGAAGACCATATATAATAATATAATAATATATAATAACTCTAGTCAGTTATGTTAACTAATATTTTCTTATGCTTATTATAAATATACAGAAAGATTATATACATATATAGACATTTTATGAAATATAGGTTTATTGTACAATTTAAAATATGCATATATATATATTTATAAAAAAATATATTTGTTTATATTTATTATAAATTAAATGTTAATATTAATTATTATAAATTATTATAAATTAAATGTTAATATTGAACCATATTATTTTTTCAATATTTTAATATATGTATACAATACATTATTTTTTATGTATTTTAGAAATATTTATAAATCTTGTAAACTATGTATTTAAATAATACAATTCTTTTTTTTTATATAAAGTATAAATATATGCTTTACAAATGTACAATTTTCTCTTATAATTATATCATAATAAGAAAAAGTATTGTAATATTTATAATTAAGAAGATTGTATATATTCAACTTTTAACCATTTACATTAAAAAAAAATAAAGAAACATTTTATTTAGTCTTAAAAATATTTCTTCTATATTGATATACATAACACAATAAATCTATAAATGTATATCTAAAAAATTTGATCAAATAATATTAATTTCGCACAGCCTCAAAAGTGAAATAATGTAAAATTTGTTTAATTTCATTTTACATAAATAAAAATTAATAAAACAAATACCTTTTAATCATCATCTGATTCATCAACTTTTTTTTGTATATCTTCAAGTTTTTCTTCTTCTTTATAATGCCGATATTCTGGTTTTAACTCCCACATATTTCTGTGAGGATTTTTCAAATTATAATTACAAACTTCATTTAATATTTCCTTTAGATATACCTATATATAATATGAATGAATGAATAAATAATAATTAAAATTGATATAATGTATATGTATATAATTGTAAATAAAACATTATTTACAATAGGTTGTCTTGTAATCTTCACAAGATCTCTTATGTTATAATATTGATGTTTTTCAAATGCAGCAAATAACATATCCAATACTGCATCTTTATCATCTCTCATCTTTTTACCTTCTGCTTTTTTCTTTTCTGCATATTCAATCTATAAAAATATTTATAATAATATAAAAATATTTATAAAAATGTTTATATAATATATTTTAAATATTTAAGTAATATAATATTATAATATACTCACATTATGCTTATGATCAGAAACTGGTTTGAAATTTTGGACTACTCTATCTAATTGTTGAACTTGTCTTTGTGGTACAGAAGCCCTTTTAATACTTTGTAATTTTAATTTCATATAACAATTATCAGCTAAAGAAATAAATGTAAGTTATATACATGTATTCAGTAATAAAATATTTTAAATATTTTGAGATAATATTTTTACCATATGGACGACATTCTAATTTTTGTACAATTCTTCCTTCCATATAAAGTTTTTCAGTTTCAGGAACTATAGAATCTGAACTACTTGAAGCTAGAAAAGATGAATTTATTAAAACATATAATAAATATCTTATGTTTAAATATTTTTTGCAATAACTTACGAGTAACATGAGAAAATACACCTAACATTTGTTTTGTTACTGTTGTAACATCTAATCTATGTTGTTTTGGAATTTCTTCCTCTCCAGGTTCTTTTAAAGCTAAAACAGCTTCAGATAATCTAAGAGATACTTCTGCTTTTTGACCAGGATTTCTAATAATATATATATATATACATATATATAATATATTGCTTTTATAAAATTATAACATTAAATATGATTTAATAATTACATTTAAAAACATACTTAGTTATCTTTAATTTACCAACTTCTATATTGCCAGGTGCTTTTTCCCATTTATTTGCTATATATTTAGGTACCTTCACAAGCCATACACCTCTGCCTGCATTACTTAAATCTAATTCTTTTTCTGTATGTGACACATTCGCAGACATGATTTATTTAAAAAGAAATTTTATTTCAAAAATCAAATATTATATAGTAAAATAAATAAAATTATATTATATATGATATTTCTATATTTCGTAGAAGAAAATATATAAGAAATATATAATAATAAATTTTAATTATTCTACTAATAATCTAACAATAATACTAATAATAAATCTAAATAGTTATTCGATTTAAAAAAATGTAATGCCTATCAGTTCTTTTATTTATACAGTTAGGTTACAAAATATATGATATATATTTCAAAATATATGAATAGAACTAACCATTGATAACAAATATTTTAGATTCACTATACATAAAGAAATATGATTAAGTTTTACAAATATGATTATATATTAAATAAGATTCTAAATTAAAATATACTTTATTTATATTTTTTATTATATAAAATTATTGTAAATTACAAATTGATAAAATATGAAATAATTTGCGATTTAATGTTAATAATTTTTATACTATACATAACTATAGTTACATGCGATGAGGATTTAAAAAACAATAAATTTAAAATACTAAATATAATAATAAATATGAAATAATAAAAATAATTGAGTTTATAAATTCTTTTCTCATTAAATTTAAATAAAATTATTTTCAAAATAATATATTGATTATACATACTTTATAACAAACATAATAATATTTATAAAAAAGTGTATGATAATTTCTTTTTCTTATTTTTTCTTCAATATTTATAAATAAATAAATAATTTATTGCTTTTTACAATAATATTGTGAAATATAAATAATTTTAATTGAATAATATATATATGTAAATATCAAATAATGCAAAACATAACCTCTTAAAATAATTTTGATAAGAAATATAAATTCATTTTTCAAATTCTTATAAGAATTTTGTATATAATTCAAATAATATTTTTTATTATAAAATGACATCTACATTTACTGTTATAACTCGACAAATTTCAATATCATCAACATGTTATGGTAAACGAAATTTTCGTATGATTCAATTATACAATAAAAGAGGTAGTCGTATGTTTAAGGAAGAACGAGCTAAAAATCCACACTACGATATTCCTATTGACAGTAAGTATATCTTTATTTACAATATATGATAATATTTCTCTTATATATTTTTAATAACAAAATGGATAATTACATCTTATATGTAATAATTAATAAATATTTTCAGGAAGAGGTGTAAAATCAACAGGGATGTGGGTAAAAAACAAATGGGTTAATATACCAGAAATGATACCAGAACTTGTTGTTCCTTCCTTAAAAGATTTTCATTTAAAACCATATGTTTCTTATAGAGTTACAGATTTTACTAAACGTGAATTTACAGCTAAAGATTTATTTAATATAGTATATGCTGATAAAATAAAAAAAGATTTTATTGAGGGTAAATTAGATCCAAATGGTGAATCATTAAATCCTAGTGAAAATGAAAAAATGACACCTAAAGAAGCTAGGGAACATGCTGAAATGACTGGTACAGATATTTTTTTAATGAATAAAAAAAGAGATTAAATAATATAAAATATTTCTATTAATTGTAATATCTATTAAATTTTCATTGTAATTGAATAATTATCTTCAAATAAAATAGATTCAATATTATATTTTACATAATGTTTTATTCAATATGCTGATACGCACAAATGTATACATTTCTTGACAATTTTGTAATTTATAAACATTAATTATTTACCATCATATATGATCTTTAAAAAATCATATATTAAGTACAAAATATTTAATTTATTGCAAATACAAAAACAGTCTGTTTCAATTATAAATGGAGTGTATTGCATATTTTCATTGATTTTACATAATTAGATTATTTTACTATATTTTTTCAATATCACACTAATTGATGGTAAATAATTATTTTACAAAGTACTTATATGTATTAATTGGACAATATATCGGCAAATAATAATTTCATATTATGTTACTTTTGCAAATATTTTTACTGCTAATAATCTTGCAAAATTCAATGGTATTTTAATGAAATAAACTTATTTAATGATAAATTAATATTTATAAATGATATACATTTTATGAAGTTTTGAATTTTTATCATTCTAAAAAAGACATAGATGAAAATACGTAACAATACCAAAATTGATTTTTCAATTCCCTTTGAATTTCTCTAAAACAGTTTTCGAAATGTCTTCTTGAGAATAATATGCCAGAACAAGATCTCGCATGATTATGCTAACTTAACAGCTATTTTTTTTTACTTATCAAAAGATTTTTTGAGCGAAGTTTGATTGTTTTTGTTGGGTAAAAAATGGCGGAAAATTTGAATATTAAAATCGTTGTCAGTTGTGCGCGGCCGGTATTGCTTCCTACTGACTACTAAAATCTAATACATATTTGCTTTAAAAAGTGCTGTATTCGTATCAAAATTTACATATAAACATATTTAAATTAATATTAATTTCATTTCTTTTCATTTAATAATAATTGTGTAAAAAGTTCATACAGCAGAACTATTTTTTGAATAAAATGATAATTTTGTACTTACATGCAAAATATAATATCAATAACTTGATACAATTTATATTTTTATATAGAAAATAATAAAATATACACATATAATTCAAAATATAAATAGTCACATAGTTATTTTAAATATTATGTATACAATAATTTTATTTAAACGTTTTTACAGAATGCAGCACTTTTTTCTTTATTTTAAACAGCAGCTACTATTTATCACTATTTATTGTTTTATTATTTCTTAATTTTCTATAACGATCATAATGAAGAGTGGAATGACGAAACACCTAGTTTTGTACAATATTATTAAATAGATATTAATAAAAACGTATAACAAAAAATTTTAACTTGGTTTCTTCATTTTATTAATTCCACTCTTCAATAAATAGAAAAGCATAAGTGGCATAATTCTTGCATTTAAGTTTAAATTAATTTTATTTCGTACGTTTTTATGAAATGAAGTATATTATGTTTTTTAATTTACATACATTTTATTATTATATTTTTTTATTGAGCATTGATTCTTCTTGTTTTATTTTTTAAATTTTGCTTGAATTATGTATTTTAATTAATTATTTATCAAATATTCAAATGGAAGTTATAAAATTCATAAATTGCGATCGATTTTTATATACTATCTTCTGATTCTGATTGATTGCTTTATAATATCATAAAAATAATAATACATATAAATAATACATTGTTGTCATTATATGATAATTTACTGAAATGAATAGTAGTATTCAAGAAGCATATCAAAAGTATTTTTCATTAATTATCATTAAAATATGCATATGTATACACATTGTGCTTTCAATTAAATGCCATTGTAAAACAAGATATATGCCACTTGCTCATGAATATAAACTTGGTGTTTTCTCTTGTTAATTATCAGTCTATGATATAATTGGATATTTGACTGAGAAAATCAGCCAATTAATAAGGCAGGCGCACATGCTACTATATGACAAAGATTTTTAACAATATTCATTATATATGCATGAAATATGTCATTATTTTATGAATGAAATATATGAATATATAAATATATGATAAAATGTGATGCTCAAAGCACATGGGAAAACCGAATTTGAATAAAAGCAAATCTTTGACATTTAGTATCATGTACCTTCCATTTAATTAAAGATTTTGCGTATGAAAGCTAGAATATTATGGAGGAAACAGTTCTATAATGAAATTTATACAACAGTTTAAATACGTAAAAAATAGATACAATAGAATACATAATCATAAAAATAAAAATACTGATATGGAAAGACTAGGAAGGCAATACTGCTTATTGTATTTTGTATATCTAATCTAGTCTTTCAGACTCAAAATCTCCAATACTAAAAATACAACAAGATAGATGTTTATTCCATTGGATCTCCAACATTTTCGAAGATGGTTGAATGAGGGTTGCTTCCAGTGGGCCATAAGAAACCACCTACACTGCCAGGTGGCAAATATGATGCTCCTCCACTGAGACCCACCTGATATATTTTCTTCTTTAAATTATTTACATTTGTATGTATATTCAAAATTTAATATCTTTATTATAAAATGTTAAAAAACAAGATTATTAAAAATATTAAAAAATAAAATTTAGAAAGCCAAATAAGGGAAATACAAATAATATGCTACAAATAATATGCATTTTCCAAGCTTAATGTTGAAATATATTTAATATTGTATTGTTTAGGAATTCAATCATAATAATTGTGCTAATATGATAGTTTTTGTGATTGTTGAATTATGTATTGGTGCAAATGTCGCATTGTTATTGTTTATGTATTTAACAGGCAAATAAATAACTATTTAAAATCATATTGTACAGTTATCAAAATAAAATTTTAGTTTTCATTTATATATATATATATATGTATACGTTAAAAATAAAAATATGGTAATTTATATAAATATCTATTAATCGTTTCTTAAAAAAAAAAAAATCAAAATTTTTTTGTTAACTGTACATTGACTTTAATTGGATTGGTACATGCATGAATTAAGGCAAATTAGAATGAACAATAAATCGCCAAATTAAAGAAAAATAATTTTTTATTTGCATCTAACACAAATAATTGTGCTTTTGTATCACAAATAACGTCTAATCGCTATTATAAACAATACTAATGATATTTACATAAATTCATCATTGTGAACATGATACACGTTCACAACAATATTAACATTATGAAAGGAACAAGTAACATAATATTCTATTTTGAGTTCGAATATAGATACGCAATTTTGGCATGATTTAAACTTGTTCCAAAAGAACAATGACGTCATGATCGTTGGACAGATACCAACAAGTTATTTTGTATTCCTTTCCGATAACTTTTTTATATTTAATCCAAACGATTTTTAAATTTCTATTTATAGAATTACCTGTTGGCTCCACAACAGTGTCCTTTCTGCTAATTGACAATCTGCTGCAAGTCGAGATGGCAAACTTTTCCATCTTTCTTCATCTCGTTTTCTTTCTCTATCAAAGTCTCTATCAACATGTCCCTGAGATAAAGGTGGTAAGATCTGTGTTCTTTGAGCTAGTTTATAACTGTCTTGTCTTGGTACGTGATCAGTGCGTCTAGTACTCGTTGCTACCGATATCGGAGTTGGACTTCCTCCACCTCTGTGTCTGTGATATAAGTTTCGTTTTTGTTGCAACATACGTTGTTGCACTAGCAATTGTAATTGTGTACTGGAATCACCACGAATTTTAAATTGTGCTTGATTTTCAGGTGATGTAGATGGTGGTCTTAAATGAACAAGATCTAAATGACCTCTAGCTTTGCCAGAATCTATAAAAATAATATAAATTTTTCAATAAGTTTATGACAAAAAATTTATATGATTGAAAGAATGTTTATGTTTTAATACCTTGAATACTTCGCTGCTTGGTTGGTCTATCTCCTCCACCTTGTTGAAAAAACAATAATCTGGGTCCACCATCTGAAGCTCTACGACCTTGAGAAACTCTTGATATTCTACCGGTAATTGGCGATGGACTCATAGGTGGTGGAGGCGTGCAGGAGGGCAAGCTACTTGTAAATGAATTTGCCCCTGAGTAATCTGGTGGGCAACCAGAATCAAAACTAGATTCAAAAAGCTCGGATGACGAACTACCACTACCACCCGCAATAAATAATGTTGTTCGACTAGGAGGATCAATAGAATCCATAAGAGGGGTATCAAAATGCTGTTGGTAATCACTCAATCTTCGATTAACTATTTGACTGTCAATTCGTTGACTAATATCTTGATCTAGGCCTAATCTATGTTCCTCAAGTTTAATTTGAGCTTCTCGCAATTCATCACCACTTGGACCTTCCTCTAAATCACCTTCTGCACTACAGCATCCTTCATCAGTTGAAGAACTAGTTGAACTAAATCTTTTTCCTCCTCGAGTTGCATCTTCCCTTGTTCTAGAAATAAATACGTAAACCAAATTTATCCAAAATATTCTAATTATTTGATAAAAGTTACTGTAGTGACGAATAAATATCAATTACGAAAATTTTTTTTAATGAAATCTTGTCCCTCCTATTTTTGCTGCATTGTTTTTATTAATATTAAAATATATAAAAATATGTAAAAAGCCACGAATTATAATAGAATTATAACAAAAACTATACAATATATGGCGATATAAAAACAAAGTAAATATTTAATATTGGAATATGGAATAACTCAAAATAAGAGGAAAGCAATGAAATAAAATGAAAGAATTACCAAAAATAAAGTGACAGCAAAGCACTTCCAATCCAACCTGTCCTGAAAATCTTCAATACATGCGTCACCGTCAATAAAGATCAACGTCCCACTAAGCTATCGCTGTAAATAAAAATTGTACAATTAACATTTAATTTTTTACAAATTCTTTTGACGGGCAGGATTGGAAGACAAGTAAATCGTTATTTTGATAAAAATTTTATAAATGAAAATGAAATTTAAACTAATATTATTAATAAATAAATAATACAAATAATTGTATTAATTAAATAAATATACCTTGACTTGAATTTGTCTTCTTTTGTTCTTGCAACACTTGGCCAACAAGCATTATTTGTAGTGCTACTGATACGATGTTGTTTTAATCTTTCTAATAATAAGAAATAAATAGCAGCATGATGATCATAGCTACTATTCCTTAATGACTAAAAGAAATAAGAATATTGTTTTAACGCAATTGTTTAAACACAATTTATATTTAAAATATATTACTAATATTAGTAAGTATATTACTAATATTAGTAGTATATTACTAATATTAGTATTATTACAAATAAAATATTACTATAAGTATATATATAGTACATAATATAGTTTATAAATAAAAAATATACCTCTCTAGTTCGCGTGATATCTATGCCTAAACTATGCATAAGTCGAAGTATTTGTTCATTTGGTTCTTGGATAGATGATGATGACCTTGTTATAATCATTGAACAAATAGTATCTGCTGATCCAGCCATCCAACGATGTCTCTTTATTTGTGGAATAGTATATCGTTTTGTAGGTTCCAAAACTAACATTTTTCGAATTAAACTTTCACAATCTAGATAAAAAATAAAAATTTATTATATTAAATATTTCAATTTTTTAAATAAAATTTTAAATTAATGTAAATATATATTTTAAATGTAATACCTGTACTCATGAAATATGGAATTCTAAATCTTCCACTTAAAACACGATCTCTTAAAGATTGAAGGGTAGATCCATCAAAGGGCAGTGCTCCACATACTAATACATATAGTACGACACCTAAACTCTATAATAATAAAACAATAATATAATAAATTATTTACATTATATGTTATATATTATATAAATATATATAATTTCCTTACCCATACATCAATTTCAGGACCAGCATAATGTTTCCCTCGAAAAACTTCTGGTGCTGCATAAGGAGGGCTTCCACACCATGTACTTAATCTTTCTCCAGGTGAAAATCTATTACTAAAACCAAAATCAGCAATCTTAACATTCATCTGAGCATCTAAGAGTAAATTTTCAGCTTTGAGATCACGATGTGCTACACCCGTTGCATGGCAGTATTCAACCGCAGAAAGTATTTGAGCAAATGTTGCACGAGCTCTGGGTTCTCCCATTCTTCCATATCGTGCAATATAGTCAAATATTTCACCCTTACTTGCATATTCACATACCTAAGATAATAAAATCATATTCATTTTTAAAATTTTTTAAAATTTAAATCAAAGAAAATCAAAAAATTATTAAAATATACCATATATATCATATTTTTTGTTTCCATTACTTGATATAATTTCACAATATGTGGATGTTCTAATTGCTTCATTATTTCTACCTCTCTATAAACTTTTTCAAGATTAGTAGGATCTAATTGTGTTTTATCAATTATTTTAATAGCTACCTAAAAAAAAATATTGAATTTTTTTTAAGAAAAAAGATAACAGAAAATATATACAATAAGCAAATGTAATAAATTATATCTACCTCTGTCTTAGTAATACGATGTCTAGCTAATTTTACCACTGCAAAGTTTCCTTTGCCAATGGTACCTTCAATATCATAAAATCCTACACGAATTTGTTTTTTTCCTTGTCCCACTCCAGAATCCATTTTAATTAAAAAATGTGTTTATTAACAAATAACTTGAAATGACTATATTTTTTTTTATTGTATTGTACAAATAAATTAAATTACTGAAAACAAAAAGAAAAGATACTTTAATATTTATCATAAAATAATATTTTAAAATAGTTTTTATTTTCTTGAGTAATATGTTAATCTGTGAATATATTAATTAAATGTTAATATATTAATATGTATAATATATTAATATAATATATTAATATAATAATAATATAATATATTAATCTTTCATTGCTTCCATCTAATAATAAATAATAAAATTTCATTATATATGTATACAAATTGAAAGTTTTTTAAATTTAAAAGTTTTATTACAATTTTCGATCGAAAAAAATATTTTTAATGAGAATCGTTCATGCAATTATATGCGCAGCATATCAGAACAATATTATTATTTCGAATAAAAATACTAAAAGTTGAGGAAGGCTTTGCAAAAGAATTTTCCTTACAAAAATGTAAAAGCTTCCTGCAACAAGTACAATAGCTATTCTCACTGACGTCATGGATCGACAACGACCTCTTGCCTATCGACGGGTCCAGGATCGATACTTGTCGATAGTCCTCGATAAGATAAAAGAAAAAAAAAAAAAATAGAAGTAGAAAAAAAGGCCAAAAGAATATTGATATTTATAAATTATTTTAAGCAATATGTTGCTTTTCTTCAAACACGACACAAGAAATACAACTAACATTAAATGACAAATGCTCACTATACTTACATTCGATCTTTGCTTGAATTACCGGATATGACACGTTCCGAACCGGTAGAACCGTTTTTGAAGCAAAAAAATCGTTTTGGCGCTACCGACCTCAATGGGTACGTAAGGTCGGAGAGCCGATGCCATCGGTAAAAAATCGTCCTTTACGTTCACGAGATTCCAAATCTCGTTTTAAAGTGGCGGCGGTCCTAAGACAAGAGTCGTAGGAGCTTCGCGTAATACGACGGTTCGATACCGACTGACCGACGGCCATGTTGCTACCCCCCTGCTATGCTAGAGTCGCTGGCCTCGTCTCTCTCTCACTCTTTCTCTCTCTCTTCCCTCATCACCCTCCTTATCCCCTTGTCTACTTCCACCATTCTTAGTGAACACTACACTACCATTACCACCAATACCACCCTCGCGTCGTTTTTCCCCACCAGATTCCTACACCACTACTGTTATGGAACGCGTGCACGCGCGCACACGTTATCTTCGACAATTGACGTCAACGTACCTACGTGCTACTATCGGCTCATCGTTAATTGTTCCTGGGTGTAATTGCAAAGCAAATAGCTCATATGCTACCACGTGGTGGACAAACTTCTTTCTTATCTTTGCTCAAATGATTTCTTTCGTTGATAATTGTTATACATTGATCTGTTGATTACATGCATGCTGTCAATACAATTCGATCCGTTATTTCAATGAGATTCATATAGTTCACAACAAAGAGAAAGTGGAATATGTGTACAAATATTTAATTATTTTATATAAGTGATATATTGTTATTAATATATGATTTTTTGTATATTTCAAAGATTTCGATATTCAAACTCGACTATAATATAATAGTTCTATTTTGTATTTGGATTAAAAATATTTTATGGTTTTATAGATAATTATAAAAAATATATATAAACATTACTTTTAGTTTATGTTATCTATATGGATAATTTCTTTTCTGACAGTCGTCAGTGATTTTACGATCATTCGTCATCGACAATTGCAGATAATTAATCCAGTAAATACTGGTAATTTTTTTAAAAGATTGACGTCAAAGTTAAGTTTTCTATCGTAAATATTTTTTAATAATCCACGTGCTACATATTTTATGATCTACATTAAGATTAAATATTTTTTACATGATATGAAGAACAGAAATCATTTTAAAACGAAAAACTAAAACTTGTGCTTAAATCGGCAATATTTCATTTATTGTGATAGGTTAAAGGACTTCGCATGATTATTATTTTGCTATTATTTTCATTATTAAAATAATTAAAACATCAAAAACTAATAAGAATTTTGTCATTAGTATCGATTACATATTATCTTATTGATTATTTAATATTTTTCTTGTATAAAATTCTTATCTTGATTATCCCAAAATCTTTATGCATATAATATAACTTCTATATATAAGAGCATAAAAAATTTTTATGTGTTCATATTTATAAATGGATAATTTTTTATTTGCGAAAATATTCATTAATAATAAATTTTTACATATCACAAAATGAAATAGTAAACTACTTTAGCCTTGAATAGGAATTAGCACGTCATAAGCATATGTTTATTAATATGAAATTCATAAATTGTTTTTATCAATTTTTTCAAGTTTTTTGATTATAGAAAATACACGCATAAAATTATAATTATAAAAAATTTTGCGAAGATAAAATAATGTTATTGAAATACGAAAAAATAAAAATAAAAGTAATGAAAATAAGTACTATTATATGTTGTTATTTCTATAATTAATCTATTTATTAAATCTTTAATTTCATTAAAAATTTCAATATTCATCTCTTTACATTACAAATACACAAAGAGGAATTTATATGTAATGCAGTTGTGAATAATTACATATTATATTATATCATTTGCTTATCAGGATACATATGACTTGTGTTTTTTTTTCAAAAGTTTATCGATTTTTTTTACCAACCCGCCAACTTCTATATAATATGATTATTCTTTTCCACGTATATATTAGTAATCAGTAATGCCATGTTGTAAAATGAAATATTCATGAATGACGATATAACGTATTTATTGCGTGTTAGGTAAAGGTTACACAAGAGACTTCACGCATAGGGATGTAATAACATTATGCCTATAAAATTATATGTGCGGTAACATTTGTTTATGTCAAAATGTACTACATTTACGTTTGTAATAATTTAAATTCATCGACTGTGCATAATATCAACCGGTTACGCCTACGATTGCAATGGGGCAAAAATCTTAGCTAAATGATGGATAACGATAGATAATGATAGTTAATAGGGCGGAAATGACGAGCAACCATTTACGATGTCACTAATGTATATGTTTTTATGCAATAGAATCTTTGTTCAAATCATTTTTTTTTTTTTAGTCAAGTAATCATTTTGCCCAAGGATACCGATATTATCTATTTCTTTCTGCGGATAAAAATAAATCCGAATAAATTCCATTCCGTTTCACAGTTTCAAGACGTATTAGCCCAGAAGAAAAATCTGAAGCGTTGAAGTTGTTTTAATTGGGATTTATTTAATTTAATTTTCTCATTTACAAATAAATGAGAAAATTAAACAATTTTTAATTTATATGAGTAATTTATTGGATGTTTAATGATAATTATTATTTAAATAATTTTTTTTTTGCTATTATAATATACTTAATTATGTATAATTTAATGATTATTCATAATTTAATTATTACATGATTAATAATTTTATTACATTTGTTTTCAATTTAAAAAATTGAAAACAATTTAAAAAATTAATAATTTTTCACGAAAAATAATTGTGAATAATTTTATTTAATTATAAATAAATATATAATTTCTTCTTATTATATAGTCTATTCTATAATAATAATATATATTATATATATTAAAAAAAAATATATTTCTTCTTTTCTTAATAAAAAAAAAAAGAATATGATATAATAGAAAATACGTTAAATATATATATGTCAGTCAATCGTAGTGTAGTTTAACCGTGAATATATCTATTTTATTTGAAATGTCTAAAAAATATAAATGTCCACAAATATATAAAATGAAACAAAAATTCAAAATAAAAAAAATAAGGGAGGAAAAAATCACATCCATATATTGTTTGACGATGTTGCTTTTTCATCATAGAAATTGAATTTATTCGTACACGACTGCATTGGTGTGAATCTACATATTGATAATATTTGGAAAATATACGATATGGTTCTTTTTCTTTTCTCTCTTTTCTTTTTTTTTTCCACGAATTGCGCTCTCATGTTTGCAATTAACGATCGAATTGCCGATAAAACGATTCACGATCGAACGCAACACAAACATCCGCACGATTATTCGGGTTAGACGAGACGTAATCCCAGTTCAGACCGACCTGGCTTTCGAGCGTCATCGCGCGTCTTTCATCGACGTATTTTCGGCATCATGCCATGGACGGGCTGGTATAATATGCTCGAAGTGCGTCATAATTAAAACAGTTGAATACTGTGCCATGATGCACTCGTCAAATGGTTATGACGATCACGGAAGGAAGTTGTAACAACGTGGTTGAATTTTCGCATGAACTCGCTTGTGAAAGCTTCCGTTGTTTTTAATCTTTCTTATACGCACACATACGTCTCGTGCTCTTTTCCGTTTTTCTCAATTTTTATTTTTCTTCTTTAGATATTTCTGTCATATTTTTTTCTTTGTTTTCTTTTTTTTTTCCTTCTTTCTTTCTTCTGGGATGTTCCTTGTTTTCCTTTTTCTTATTTTTTTTCTATAAGTACATCTCTTATTCTTTTCTTTCTTTTTGTATTTTCTATCTTTTTTAAATATTATTGTCATATTTTTCTTGAAATATATCTCTGCTTGTATTTATTTTCTTTCTTTTGGGGTATTTTTTTATTTCCTTTTTATTTTTTTTGCATGTCCTATTTCCTGTATGTTTATTATTTTTTTTGTATTTTCTTTTGATTCTTAAAACGTTTTCACCTAATTTTTTTCATTATTGCAGATGTTTATTGCTCTTTTATATGTTTTACGTATTTATTAGTATTTTGTATTATATCTTTTATTATATTTTTTTTTCTGTCTGAGACTTTTTTCTATTCTTCAAAAAAATCTAATTCCTTCGTCTAATTTCTCTATCTTAAATATTTCTTCTTTTTTTCGTATATTTCTATTACTATTTTTCTTTTCTTTTCTTTTCTTTTTATTTTAATAACAAGATCATAGCGCGTCATCTTGTTTCGCGATATGATTCAAAGTTATCAAGATTTCTTTTGATAGATAATTTTTTGAAACGATAATTATTATGTATTTTGTTCGTCATGCTAAAATTATGATTCATTATTCGTTTCTTTTAATATTGTAACATCGATATCTGATTTCAAATACAGTATATTTAAGAATTTGATCGATTTTTTACAAGCAAAAATACATATTAACAATTTATTAAATTCGTATTAAATCTGGATTAATGACAAATTAATGTGATATAAATTGAGAAATGTTATATGGAAATAGATGTGATAATTTATTAATGTAATATTATCGAGAATAATAATAGAAATATTATTTAAAGTAGTCATATAGTTAAATATCTAAATGAAAATGAGTGTCTACTTTTATATACTAATGATGATTAAAAGAATACATATTGAACCATAAAAAACGTAAAACTGCTGCATAAACTGTTAGCATTATTAGAAAATCTAGTAATAGGATTAGAATAATAGGATTACGAAGATTGGTCTTAAACTGACGCTCGCGCGAAATAGTGTAGCGTTAAGAACAAACTTAAGGTTAGAAAATTCTTTGGCCTTGTTGATTTTTAAAATTTATTTATTCTCTTTGTTGACAATTTTAATCAATTAATCAATTTATTCCCCGTATAGAAATTGTAAATAAAGTCTAGATTGTAGATTCTAAATTTATGTAAATTTATAAATATATTTTTCATAATTATTCTAAAACTATGATTAAATCAATTTTTTGATTCTTTGAAAATCAAAGAATAAATTCTATTAAAATATATGGATGTAAAAACTTCTTGTTGTGACAGAAAAAAGAAAAATCCATTAAGCAAGAAAATTATTGAATAATAATGATCGCTGGGAAAGGTCATTCTAATTTTCATTTTATTTAAATTTTAATAACTGTTAAAAGTTACTATTATGTGTGTATCAAAACTTTAGTGTTTAATATTTCTATTCTGTCTTTTCTTATAATTGTAAAATATCTATTGATTTCTAAACAGAAAAACTCTTTATATATATATTTTTTTA